ACTAAAAAAAAAAAGGGAGAAGAAAAAATTCAATTCAACAACATTTAACAACTAAGCATCCAAACAAACCCCTCCGTTTCTCAGCGTGTTCAACTACACTCCATCGTTGGCGCGTAAGATGCATAATTTCTTTCTCAATTTAAAAAACACACTCCAAAGAAAAAAAAAAAGGAGAAAAACGTACAAGGATCTTCTTTCTTTTGCCCGCAGCAATTTTAAAAGGAATTTGTTCCTCCAGTGTCACAGAGAAAGAAATGAACGCCAAACAGCTCTTTCTCTCTCTCTCAAACAGTAAAGCTCCCTGCTTTTCTAATTTTCCAAAACATTAACAAATAATTAAATGAAATTCTGCTTATTATAATCCCCACAAAAGAACTTTGCATTACTAAGTTGAGCTTAAATCACCTGCAATACTGGATTCAAATTTTCTTTTTTAATCTCTCTGTGCCTTTAATGGCCTCTCATTCTCTCTCCCTTCTAGCACACTGTTTCTATATAATCTCAGCTCTCTCCTCTTTAACTCCCATCTCTAGGGCTTCAGTCTCTAGAGAAGACCATAACCGTCCCCTCTTTTTGCTTACTTTGACTTGACTCCAACCCCTAAGGTCCGTTCCCCTTTCTTTCTCACTCTATTAATAGATATCTGTATTTGGGTGTATAAATCTGTGTGTTTAATTGTGTTTTGATGCTTTTCTGGGTACCCTTTTGGTTGTTCTTTAGTCCTTGGTCTTGCATGTATGTTTATTTGTATTTCTTTTGAATCTTTGATCAACAGAGTTAGACACTGTTTTTTGTATGTTGTCTATTTTGGTTGTCAGATTGACTTCTATCTAGGGTTAGTTCTTAATTGTTGAAACTATTGCATGTGGGTTTTGTACTTCCTAGAATGTAGATCAAACCCATTTTATGATCTTCTCCTCTCTTTTAATCTCAGTTTTCATCTCTAAGTACTTTCATACGTATTTTGTTGCTTAATGGCAATAGTAGAGTAGAATTGATCAACCCAATACAGGAAAAACAGCTTGCAGATCTGACAGTTCTGAGTTTATGCTTAAGTGCTTGATTCTTTCAATTTACATTCGAGATTGTAGGTGATTATATATTATTTGAGGTTCTACCTGCATATATCCTATTATTTTTAGGCCCTGAATTTAGACTTCGTTCAATTTGCATAAGCTGTTACTTTATGTTGTCTACGGCATACCCTGTTTTCAATATGAATTGCTGGATATATTTCATCTATTCCTTTTGGTTCAACCTTAACCATTCATGACATAAGTTGTAGGCCCCTTTTTTTTTTTTTTTAATCCTGTTGTTTGTTTAGGCATTTCCTTCCTCACTTCATTCTTTTCCCTGTGTTTTGTAAGACAAAATTTTGTGATCATCTGATGAGTTGTTGGATTCATTTTGATTGATTTATTGATTAATTTTAATTTTGTTTCAAGTGGCAGGGGAATTTGAAGGCTTAGGAAGATTTATCATCATGTCAAAAGACAAAGAAATAAACGATGAAGAAGGAAGAGAGGATTTGTTTGGTGATCGTGAGAATCCTGGTGAGAAAGGGATGCTGGCTGAGGATGTCAATTATGGTCTTATGTGTAGCTCTCACTCGCCCCCATGTCAAAAGGTGCGGCTTTGTGAGACAAATCAGGGTACGGACCTGAACTATGATGGATTTTGTTCCAGTGAGGGAAAGCTTGGTTATTCCTCAGGTGCAGAACCTCAGGATGCAGATTACTCCTATATTCCCTCGCTCAGTAATGAGCTAGAGGTTTTGATTTTGGCTCGGGTCCCCAGAGAGGAACACTGGAAATTCTATTTGCTAAACAAATATTTCTTACAACTGTTAAGAAACGGTGAGTTGTTCAAGATCAGGAGGGAAATTGGGTTGAAGGAATCAACTGTGTTTATGTTGCCAATGGGGGACCGTTATTGGTGGGCATTTGATGGGCAATTCAAATCTTGGAGAAAGCTGCCAAGGTTACCAGCAGATGACTGCTTTAGGGATGGTGATAAGGAATCAATTTCTGCTGGCAGCCATTTGATTGTTTCAGGCAAGGAGATGGAAGGCACTGTTGTCTGGAGATTTGAGTTGGAAACAAATAGATGGTCTAGGGGTCCTGGCATGATAAACCCCCGATGTCTGTTTGCATCAGCTACCTGCGGCACCTATGCTTTTGTAGCTGGCGGGAAAGTAATAGGGTTTGAAGGTGATTTCAAAGTTGTTGATTCTGCAGAGAAATATAATCCGGAGACAAAATCATGGCATCCACTTCCAAGGATGCACCGGCAGAGGGAGTTGTGCTCTGGTTGCTTCATGGACAACAAGTTTTATGTGATTGGAGGAAAAAATGAGAAGGGAAACTATCTCACTTGTGGAGAGGCCTACGATAATGAGAAGGGCTTGTGGGAGTTGATTCCGAACATGTTGGAAGGTATTCCACTTCAACGCTGTCAATCTCCACCTCTAATTGCTGTTGTAAACAATGAGCTTTATTCACTTGAAACCTTGTCTAACGAGCTGAGGTTGTATTTGAAGAGCAGCAAGACATGGAAAAACTTAGGGCCTGTCCCTTTTAGTGCTGGTTCGGCAGGAGGATGGGGAGTGGCTTTTAAGTCTCTTGGCAAGGAGCTGCTGGTGATCGGTCCATCCTTTGGTGGTCCCATGCCTATATACACATGCTGCCCTCAGCCTGATGCTGATGAACTTAAGTGGACGCATGTAGAATGTGACAGATGTGGCCTCAATCAGTTTATTCTGAACTGTTGTGTGATGGTAGCTTGAATGTAACCTCATAAGCTGTAACTCTGCAATTTGTAGAGATATTCTATAGGATCTTCTGATCTAAATAAATGTGGGGATGTGTAATAAAACATTCAGAATTTTCCGATAATGTGATGTTTGGGATTTCTCCCGTTGCCTGCTTAATTACACTAGTGGTGATGAGAACCGTAAGAAGTTGTAAGAAGTTTCCCTAAGAAAAGACTTATGATGCATCTGGTTTGCTTGACCAAAAACATAAAGGTGCATGCTCAATGGCAGAACTAGACAATTTTTAGAAGAGTTAAAAACTATTGAGACTTGAGAAAGACTTTAGTGCCAATAGGCAAGTAAAGTTGGAGGTTTTACTTGATATCTCCCTATTTGCCCGTACATGCTGCTTCTCTTAACTTATAGTATATTTGATTTAAGAGGATTATGTTTGATTTAAGAGGATGAAGGGAGGTATTGCAATTTGATAGTAAAAAAATCCTCCTTTTTATATCTCTTAAAGCAAACACATTATTAATCTTATGAGTCTAAAAATGGGTCAAAAAATTAATCTTGAAGGACTAAAAAAAGATTTTTTTTAGTTAATACACCAAAAAGAGGTTTGTACCAAATTTGAAGAGCAATGAATTTTAACGGATATCTTACCATAAAACTTACGAAGAAATCTTGATGTGTAGATTTTTTATTAGTTAAAAATATTCCTGACTTAACATGTCATTACATTAAATAATTTTGTGTAATATAATTTAGGATTTTTATAATCTATACTATTAGGGTATAATTTAAAAATATTTTTTAATAATAAATTTATATAAAAATATAAAAATAAACATTAATTTTAAAATTAATAACATGTGAATAAATTTAATTAATAAATTAAATATTATTTTTTATTTTTTTTAACACTTAATTTATACTCTTAAAGTACACACTAGAAAAACCATATAACTTATTACTTGTTAATTAATTCTTTCCATTTATGAATTCTCAATTGGATTCCAAAAAAATTTATAGGCGCATGAACTTTTGGTAAGCTCATATCTCTATATGGGCTTGACGTGGATATGGGACGATAACTAACCCGACCCGTAACAATTAGGAGCAGGTTTCTGGATCCAGACTGCGGTAAACAAGAGAGAGAAAGAAATCGAAGAGAAGGAAGCAGAAAAAGCCGAAGTTTCTCTTTCTCTCTCTCTAGCTGGTTTTGGTAGAGGTGAGCGAAGCGAAGCACGAGAGCAACGGACCCTAAAACTGCTTGCTTTTTTTTGTAAGGATATCATGATTTCCTCTGTATTTATCCCCCTCTCTGATTTATCTCTTACTCATTATTTTGAATTCTCAGCCATAATTCTGATTTGATTTCAATTCAACGTCTCTTGCAATTTCACAGCTTGATTTTCGCTTTTCTATCCCCATTGTTGCATATTGAGAGCTTTCGTTGAAGCTGGTAGCAAGATTTGATTTTTCATTCTGTTCATTAGGGTTTTCTCCTACCCACGCTGATCTGGGTTTGCTCTAAATTAGGGCTTTTTTGGGGTTTAGTTTTTTTTCCCTTCTGCTGTTTGTCTTGGAGTAGATAGTCTTATCAGGGTTTTGCTCCAAAAAAAGTTCGATTCTTTGTGGATTTTAAAGGGTATTCTGGTGTCTCTAGGAAGTGGGTTGCGGTTTGTGGAAGCTTTCAAGGATATGTGTCTGTGAAGTTCGTGTTTTGCTGGTGTTAGGTATTTATTGGTGGTTAAATTAATGATGTCTGTGAACAACAACAACAACGGCAGCAGCAATAACAACAACCTGCCCAAGAACCTTGGGGTGTCTTCATCACCCTTTGGTAATGCGGGGATGGTATCTTCTTCTATGGCTGGGAACCCTGCATTCTCACAGTCACAAGCACAGATGCAAATGGGGCCTGGCTTTCAAGCTCAATATAAGCTGTCCCAAGCCCAGGCCCTTGCCCAGGGTCAAGCACAGTTGAAAGCTCAGGCTCATGCTCAAGCTCAAGCACAGGTTGCCCATGCTCAATTCCTTCATGCTCAAGGTCTGTCCCTTAATCAGGGCCAGAATTCTGTCCTTGGTAATTTCGGTTCCTCCTCGCCATCTATGTCTACTCCTGGCAATTCAAGTGTAAAGCGCTTCCCGCAAAAGCCTCCTGTTCGTCCTCCTGGCATTCCAATGACAAACTCTATTTCCCCTCTGAGAACAATGGAGCTTACACCTGCTGCTCGTAGAAAGAAGCAGAAGCTTCCTGATAAACAGCTGCAAGATAAAGTGGCCGCGATTCTGCCTGAATCTGCCTTGTATACCCAGTTGCTTGAGTTTGAAGCACGTGTTGATGCTGCATTATCCAGAAAGAAAGTTGACATCCAGGAGGCACTTAAGAACCCTCCTTGTGTTCAGAAAACTCTTCGAATATATGTTTTCAACACCTTTGCTAACCAGATTAAGACAATTCCAAAGAAGCCAAATGCAGAGCCCCCCACTTGGACCCTTAAAATTATCGGGAGAATCTTGGAGGATGGTGTAGATCCAGACCAGCCTGCATTTGTTCAGAAATCAAATCCGTTGTATCCAAAGTTCTCGTCTTTCTTCAAGAGAGTGACCATTTCCTTGGACCAGAGACTATACCCAGAGAATCATATTATTATATGGGAGCAAGCTAGATCACCCGCACCTCATGAGGGTTTTGAGGTGAAGAGAAAAGGGGAAAAAGAGTTCACTGTGAGTATAAGATTGGAGATGAATTATGTACCTGAGAAGTTCAAACTTTCTCCAGCCTTGATGGAGGTCCTTGGTATTGAGGTTGATACACGCCCAAGAATTATTGCTGCAATCTGGCACTATGTGAAGGCTAGAAAATTACAGAACCCAAATGACCCATCTTTCTTTGCTTGTGATCCACCACTTCAGAAGGTTTTTGGCGAAGAAAAAGTGAAATTCACAATGGTTTCACAGAAGATATCCCAGCATTTGTCTCCTCCACCACCCATACATTTGGAGCATAAGATCAAGCTATCAGGGAACAGCCCTGCTGGAACTGCATGCTATGATGTATTAATTGATGTACCATTCCCCATACAAAGAGAATTATCTGTTCTTTTGGCCAATGCTGAGAAAAGCAAGGAAATTGATGCATGTGATGAAGCTATATGTGCTGCTATAAGGAAAATCCATGAGCATCGCAGGAGGCGAGCATTCTTTCTGGGTTTCAGTCAATCACCTGTGGAATTTATCAATGCTCTAATTGAGTCACAAAGCCGAGATTTGAAGCTTGTATCTGGAGAACCCAGCAGAAAT